AGAACAAAAGGGAAGTGCTGGGAAACCAGCGCTCTTAGAAGATGCCAAAAATACATGTCAATCAATATCAATGCTTAGATTCTTTACACTTTTTAAATAAAAATTGATTTCAGCAATATATTTTCTTCAACACTTGCACTGAATATCATTTTCCATAATAATTTAAGCAGCAACCGGTCAATCTGTCAAAACTAGAGAACAACATACATGGATTCAATCCAGATTTCAGTATCTCTTCTCTCTGCCTGACAGCATATTCATTGCTGTACTTATTCCTCATGGGAAACTGCTGCAAAGCAGGATGGAGGGAGAGAGTGACAATATTCCACTGCCACATAGATGCTGTGTTTAAAATAGAGTGACTATTTAACTTTGACAGGAAAATCCCCAGCCATTAAATGTTACCAGCTTCTTCTGAGGGGTTTCTATTAATATTTTCAGTAAATGACTTATGGAAATTAGTCATTAAGCTGTTAGAATATTACTGGAAGTCGTTTTCCTCAAGTCCTTCCCAGTTACTGGGAAACATATCAGAATGATACAAGGTTCCTTGATGCCAGATAGCAGAACTTAAGGAATTCTCCAGGCTGGAAATCCATAGTCTTCTACTGTAAATGTAGCAACAAGCAGTAACCAGCTTGCAATCCGTCACCTGATGAAAATAAAAAGACTTTATAAGGAAATAAATTCAAATTCCAAAATTGTCTCTGGCTAACTGCAATTAAAAAAAAAAAGTTTTTTTAAGTTTCAGCTCCATTGATAACTGACATAGGAATTCTCGCTGTGGTGTACCTGCCTCAGGAGTGATTTATCACCGTCTGCAGATGGTGGGATTCGAAGGCGCAGTCCCCAGCCGCCTTGCTTAGCAGGCTGTGGCGGTCACGCTGGGTGTTTGGAGACTGGCAGGGAGTCTGCAAAGCCATTCCTGGCCCGTCAGAAATATGAAGGTTTGCTGACCCCAACAACTTGGGATAAATTGTAGGTTCTTTACTCTTTAACTGAAGCCATTGCATTAAAGCTTTGGTGTGTTACCCTCCTCTTGCTAAGAGACTGGCATTTTAGTGTGGCTTTGGTTTCTTGTTTTCCAGAGAAACTTCTGGATACAAGGGCCTTCTTTGAAACGTAAGGGTGAGACCCAGCAAGGGGTGCAGGCAAACAAAAAAATGGTTGGAGTAAACAAAGACTTATTAAAATGTGCAGTTCATTTTATTGATCCGCTCTTTAGCACTTCATCTCCCCGATTCTTTGAATGTCAAAATGCACTTACAAATATAGCATGGGTTTTGTGTCTAGAGTATTATTCTTATGACTTGGTTTTCTTTTAATTGTGATTTTGTTTGTGGGGTCAGAATATCTGTACAGAACTGCGTAGTGATTTACCCAGTGAGAAAGGGATTTTCATGTGCGATTACCTCCTTTTTATTTGTGCATTTATGAATCCTTTTTTATTTCAGAAATACTTGTGTAGCTGCTAATGCTGCTCAAATTGCTATGGTTTTTAGAGAGAATAATGCTTATTGATAGGTCCCACATGCACTGGCAGGCACATCTAAAACCTGTACTTTTGTGTTCGCAGCTTGCATAATATAAAATGTAGAGATTGCTTGTCAAACTAAGTGTCAGCTGAGTTTCCTAGGAAACTCACTAAAGATATTTATAAAACTACAGATCAGCTTAATAATAGATATAATAATGTCAGTAGCTCGTGATTTTTTTTTTACTTTATCAGTCCATTTTTCTTTGCTTTAATTTGTTAGCAAACCGAACTATTACATTTACAAACACGTATGTTCTGTTCCATGTCAGGGAATGTGTAACACCCTAATGTAAAATTGAAAGCGTCTAAAGGAATCTGAATGTCATACAAATTATGAGGCTGCCTCCTTCATAAATAAGGCTGCAGTTGTGAAAGTAGAAATAGAAATATTATATACTGTGTTACAGTTCTACTGTTGAGCTGAATGTGTGAGTTTTAAGTTCATTGCACATGCATGAAAAACGGCTATTGCAGAATTAGCACAGATCCTGAGTACACGTTTGTATAGAAGACCTATAAGCATTGCAATAAGGCATCATTTTGTGAAAATAATTTTATTGATAAGCCAAAACAGAGAAACTGATGCTGGCGTCCATTTTTATGCACTTGGCTATGTTCTTTAGAAAGCAATGTAGAAAAACAATTCCACTTTTTTAATGCTGTACCAAGGATGAAGTTAGCATGTTTAGCAACGAGGCGGCACTAGCTCTTACCTCATTTGGAAGCTGTTGCTTGTACCTGCTCTGCGCATTTGCCTGTCAGAGCTGTTTTTTGATGCTTCCTAAGGAGCTTGTATTGAGGATATTGAAGAATTGAGTTTCTTTCTAAAAAATAGGAGTATATCTTCTTGCGCTTCAGTATCTAGAAAATTCAGTTCATGTTTAACGTAGCTGCTAAGAAACCTTGAAAACTTGTCCGTCATGCACTGAAAAGGTTGATTTTCTTTAAAGCTACAAAATTTAACCAAGCACTAATTATAGTTATATGTTGATTTTATCATGCTAATGATGACATTGCTACTTGATACAGTGGAGTGACAGTTAAAACCTTATAAATCACTGCATTTATTTTAGGATAGATCACATGTGGACTGCAACATTAAAAGCATTAAGTATTACAAGCTCTTTTCAATGGATACCTGAAGGTGTGTGTTATTTAACAGAGCTCTGTCTTCGACTGGTGTTCCAGTGAATTACATGTGAAATATATTCTTTAATTTAACCAAGAGTGGCAGTTTCCAAGTGGAGAACAACTTGGGCCGCTGCACAGACTGCTCAAGTGGAGGATTGCTTTATTCGCAGCCCTGCCGTGGATTATTCGCTGTGTAACTTTCTATCCATAATTTACCAGTTGGTAAAATGCAGGTGGTAACAGCCAGGAACCTCACTGAAGTGCCTGAGTAGGTGAGAAAGGTTGGTGTGAACAGGAAATCCTGATGTTAAATGAGTTGTAGCAGCGTGACCTTGGTTTTGGCAGATCAGGATGCACATCTCTGGTTTCTGCTGTCACCTGTAGCAGTGCCTCCTCCTACAAGAAAACCGCGGGTCCTTGCGGTGCTGCACAGGTTGTGGTGGAGCCGTGTTTGTGCACAGATACTCGTGTCCGCAGGGTTAGCCAGCACCCTGAAGTGCTTTTCCCTCTGCATTTACCATTATGCCTGCTAGGAAAAGGCAGAGAAGGCTTTGGAACAGACAGGGAAATGCAGTGCTACTGCTTGAGCAGCTGTGCTGCAGAAAATTACCCCTTGCTTAGGGAGAGATTCTTCTCTGAGGCATTTCTGGGTTTGTTTTTTCATCTTCTTCTTCCACCTTATCACGTGCAGCAAGCATAAGATGAGAGCTCTGTTAACGACAGATACACTCGTTAAAAATACATCTCTCTGTTCCAGTATCTGTGTTAAATGCAGGGATCACAGAGGTAAAACTTTGCTCCACATGGTGCAAATCAGCCAGACAGAAGGTTCTGCTTGAATACAGTTACTTTCTAACAGTTATTGTCATTAAATATAAAGATGCACTTTTATACCTTTATATAAGCTTATGGTTGCTTTCAGGGGGAAGAGCAGATTTTGCTAAAGATTAATTTTCATTGGGGCTGTGCAGAAAAGCTTTGTAAGTAGGTGCTCCGTATGTCTCAGTGCCCCTGTGGTGTTTTTAAATGTCGTATTTAGACATCACACCTTGATAAAAGAAAAACTGCATGTTTTAACTGTAGATGTTGGGGTTTTTTTCCCCCTATTGTAACAATGGAGGTTCAAAAAATGAAAAAGTGCAAGTAAATATATACACGGCATATTTTCCTTGCATTTCAGTTCATATCCGTGGGAAAATACTATGCGAGTTACAGACAAGCTTTTAGGGGTGTATTTTTTCAACTGGTCAGTGTGTGTGACCCCAGGGTTAGCAGTGAGTCATTGCAAATCAAGAGTTCACCGTTTTTTCTTTTTTTCCCACTGCAGTTGAATAGATTCCACATGTACACCCTTAAATATTAGTAAAAATGGGAAAACTTGCCTGTTGATAAATCGTCGTATTACTGTAGCAGGGTGAGTCAGCCAGTGGGGTATTCACTGCCAAATATAAACAACCATGCAGAATTCAAGCAAGATTCTAAGTCAGGCAGGCAGGACAAGAAAATGAGCCATCTGGGCTCGGACAAGCTCTAAGAAACGGGTGAGAGTGAGGGAGGAAAACCTGCCTATTTATACATATAGCTAAAAGTTACATTTTTATATCCTTATTGCTGCTGTTCTAACATGCACTAGTTATGTTTGAAAAGGTTTCTAAAATAAACGGTGAGTGTGGTGCTCCTCTTTTCCTGCCCCCCATCTCCTTTTTGCAGTCTTAAGCCTTTATTTATGCATTATACTCTGTCTTGACAATGTGAAGAGTCACACTGCGTAACCACCGTTTCATGCCAGTTTTAGTTGCCAGGTCTTACACTTCAGCTGCAATGTCAGAGGACAGCATTGCAGGACATACGTATGTGTATTAATAATTCTTATTTTTGTATACATTAACATAACATTTTTGATACCATAATTAACATTAATCACACTCTAGGTTAGCATAACGCTGGATGAAGGAAACTCTTCTCCCCATTTTCCTTTTTAAACTCAGAAATACTACTTTTATTTAAATAACCTCATAATATTATGGCACTTGGATAACCTTAGTATTTTTTTAGTGGACCTAACAAAATTTTAGCATTTCAGTGCATTTGGACTGCTTCTGGGTACTATAAGTGAAAAAGCACTGTATTGAAACCAAGTCTGAGTAGAATTTGCTTGCCTTGAAAAATGTGAACTTAGTCAATGTAGATAAATTACTGGGATGATGCCTTTACCATCTGACTTCTGTTTTACTTTGCAGCTTGGATCTAAACCAGAAAAGGTAGTGAAAATTATTATACTAGATGGGATTTTACATATTTATACACATATTTATTTTTCTTCCAGCTTTTTAGAACGAATTGACAGCGTCAGCATGGATGACTACACGCCTACAGATCAGGTTAGTGCAACTAACGGGATAGAGTCTGAACCAGGACACCCCTTCATATGAATCCTCTATGTCATTTATTTTAGTCCCAACTACCCCTGAAATACAGCATACTGCATAGTTTCAAAACACAGTTCAAGTGATGGATATTAAAGAAGAAGAGGCTTTTCAGTGGTGCAAGCCTGTCTCTCACTGTCATTGTATCTAGGGCGGCAATTCCTGCAGGACGTCCATTATTTCTTCTCACTTCCCATTCTGTGTCGCACAAAAGAGCAAACACAAAACATACGTAATCGCGCACAGTTTCCAGCACCAACTTTCACTTCACAGAAGCCACGTCTCATCTGAGCCCTGTCACCCTCACGGTAAAGAAGTTCTTCCTCATATGGACATGAAATTTCCCATGTTTCAATTTGTACCCATTATCCCTTGTCCTGTCGCTGGTCATCACCATCATCTGGGTGCTGGAGACCTGTGATGCAGACCACAGCCATTAGACACCTTTTTTCAGCCTTTTTCCAACTCCCCTGGTCAGGAGAGTGTCTGTATCAGCCTTATTTGAAGGACAGCGGACTTCACTTTCCTGTTCACACTGGGACACAGCTGCAGCACCCACATTCACAATGTTTGCTAAGGCTTTTGGCCACTGATTCACAAAATTTTGACTGTTAGTCACGTGTTTTGTTTTGTTTTGCTTTTTCTCCAGGTGACTTATAATCTATTCAGAGCTCTGAGGAATTTGGGAAAGTTTAGGATTGATGCAGTAGGAAAGGGCTACACGAAGTGTAGCTTTTTCTGGCATCCAGGGTTGCTTTGGACACGTTCTTATCAGGACAGACTGAGTCTTGAGGTTATTCTTTTCCAGTGCTGGTATCCTGCCATTAACTCTGTCGAGATTATGGGACATGTGAGAAACTGCAAATGCACAATGTAAAAGAGAATACCAGCACTGCATAAATCAGTCTAAATATGCCAGGTACACAATGGATGGATGCTTTTAAAAAATGTGATTGCCACGTCTCATTTTATGAAAAAGGACTGATATTCAGAGAAGTAAAGTGACTAGCCAGAGTCGTAGTGTGTCCGGGCAGCTCACCCAGGCCTCTGACCATGAGCCTGTCCAGTTACAGTGAAAGCTCATCCCAAAGGAGAAGGCAATAAAAAGCAGCATGTGTTCCGTTGTAAAGTGAAAGTCACATTGTTGTCCCAATTAAAGCCCTCAAGACATTTCTGATCAAAGGTTTTGCACTGAGGTTTACTTCATCTTAGAGCTCAGATTTTAGCATCAAATTTCTTCACTCTGCTGTAGAGAGAGGTCAGTGAAGCAAAGCTATACTTTTGAATCAGAGAATGGTTGAGGTTGGAAGGGACCTCTAGAGATCATCTAGTCCAGCCCCCCTGCTCCAGCAGGGAAACCCAGAGCACGTGGCACAGGGTGGCATCCAGGTGGGTTTGGAAGATCTCCAGAGAAGGAGACTCCACAGCCTCTCTGGGCAGCCTGTTCCAGGGCTCTGTCACCCTCACAGGAAAGAAGTTCTTCCTCACATGGAGATGGAACTTCCTGTGTTTCAATTTGTACCCATTACCCCTTGTCCTGTCACTGGCCAGCACCGAAAAGAGTTTGGCCCCATCCTCCCTACATTCTTTCAGGTACTTGTACACATTGATCAGATCCCCTCTCAGTCTTCTCTTCCCCGGGCTAAATAGGCCCAGCTTGCTTAGTCTTTCCTTGTAAGATACGTGGTCCAGGCCCTTAATCATCTTTGTCGCTCTGGACCCTCTCTAGAAGCTCCATGTCCCTCTTGTACTGGGGAGCCCAGACCTGCACACAATACTCCAGGTGCGGCCTCATGAGAGCTGAGCAGAGGGGCAGGATCCCCTCCTTCCGCCTGCTGGCAGCGCTCCCCCTGATGCAGGCCAGGATCCCATTGGCCCATGAGGGCACATTGCTGACTCATGGTTAACCTGTTGTCAGCCAGGACTCCCAAATCCCGCTCCACAGAGCTGCTTTCCAGCAGGTCAACCCCTAAGCTCTCCCTTCCCCCTCCCACCTTTTGTTCCATTGCTTACATTAGCATTGGCCTGTTTGATCTTGTGAAGCCTCTCTCTACCTTGAGGAGTCATTCGTGGTGGCAGTGGCTCCATTATTTATAAACCCGGAAATTTCTCCTGACATTTGCTCTGAGGAGTGCTGTGCCAGCAAAGGCAAGAGGCCTTTGGTATTGGGAAGCCAAAAAAGCTTTGGGGCTAAAGGCAGTTTTATGACTTGCTTTGGGATTTTCATCCCATTATATTGCATCAGTTTTTCTTGACAAATTAAACTGCTACAAATCACTACCTTCCTCTCCTTCCTTCCTTCTTTAATTTCTTTGGCAACCCCCCAAAATAACAACTAAATCCAACTGCAAAACTAAATGGCAATAAGTAACAATAAATGATGGTAGTTTATAAAACAACTCAAACAACTCAAACCAGGCGGCCCGTGGCTGCTAATGCAGCAGAGGTCTGTCAGCTGGAGGAGACAGAGATTTGGGTAGGGGGAAGAGGCAAACTGAGCTTGTCTCCTTGGAGTCCTCCCCAACTTCTTCCTCTTTTCCTACCTGTTGCTCGAGCTCCTTGATGACAAGGAGACCTAAGCTAGTGATGATGGTGCATGGGGACATGGTTGTGTAACCTGAGTAACCTAAATTTATGTTCTTCCTTTGAAAATCTAGGAAGTTGTAATTTTTTCGTTGTTGCTGTTCTTGTTGTTATTAAAAGAATGTTACTGGGGTTGTAAAGTATTGCTAGTTTGAAAAATGGGGAAGAAATGCCAGATTTACCTACAGCCCAAGTTCTGTTCACTTGTGCACTGTAACAGAGCATTAATTACTTAGTCACGAGCTGTTATTTCTATAGGATTCCTGTCTCATTCAGTACAAAAGGGGGCAGAACTAAGGTTGCCTGGGCAACTGTAATTTTGGAGTTTTCTAACATTTAAATACTTGTTTTCGCATCAAGAATAACTTTTTTTTTCCCTCCTTAGTCTTGTGTAGTGTCAACATTCATTATCCATGTCACATATAAAATTATATGACCATCAGTAACAGGATTCAGTGTGTGCTAAGGAGGATGCGTATAGGACATCCCCCTTCTTTTACAATATGCACCAGCCAAGTTCAGAAGTGAGATCTGTGTTGACCTACTTTGTCAGTATGGACCAATACATATTTACCAAAAATTCTCCTTTAACTTTAATTAAAAGGAGCATTTAAGACTTTCCGTGTTAAATAATAGTCCATGCTTTTAAAAAGGAACTGGGATAGTAAAAGATACTTCTAATCAGTTTCTGTGTTCTCATTTCCAGGACCTATTACGATGCAGAGTTTTGACATCAGGGATATTTGAAACAAGATTTCAAGTAGATAAAGTAAATTTCCAGTAAGTCTGTTAATAATAATTTATGATTTGCATACTAATTCCAACATAGTTCCTATGTCCATGCTTGCATATTGTGGGTATGGTCGGTTTGGGAGAGGGTTGGAGGGCTCTCGGCAGCGGGGTTGGGATGTGTTTCTTTAGCATGCTGTACATAAGCCCCAGTACAATTGCCTCATACTCTGTAATAAAAGCTGATATTAGTCATGTCTATTAGTGTTGCTGTCTGTTGTCAGGTTGTCTTTGGCTGTTTTTACTAACTAACTGGTTCATTGATACAACACTGTAAACTCATAAAACAGTTTCAGGGATAAGGTCCTGCAGAACTAAGTGGAAATGCTGCCATGAGTCAGAGTTTGTATAAGGGGACAAAGAAAGTCAAATGTTTTCCTTCTCCTGGAGGGCTGCTGCCTGTGGCCCTTGCAATTTTATGCTGCATCTCCATTAAAATGCACCCGGTCTGGCTAGCTCTGCTTGCTGGACCTAAAACAGAAAAGTAGCAACTCTGGCTGGGGAAAAACTGTATGTCACCTTCGAGGGATGGATGAAGAGATAGAGGGATAGGAGATGCGCACTCTGTCCACCACCACTTCAGTTATTTACAACACATTAGACCCACCCATGCAATCCCAACCATGCGCATTTTTGCAGCCTGAAAAAGCCAGCCCTTCCCTGGAAAGGAGTGTTTCTCCTCTGGGGGGTCCAGAAGCGCTCCCAGGGCAGAGCCGGGCAGGGAGGTTTTGGCAGCTCACCCACAGGCAACGCGGCCTCAGAAA